TAAAATAATTTTTATCAAGTAAATGCCTACCATTTACCCAGGATAAGCCATCGATTTCAGGAAACGCGAAAAGTCATTTAAATTAACGATCGCCCTTAGAATTGGTTGTAATAATCCGCGCGAAATCAAGTGATGGCCTAGGACGCTATAATAGATGAGGGGAAATTTATTTTTTTTATTTTAAAAGAAATAATGGTGATTTTTTTAAATAATAAACTTTTAAAATATTTTCTTTTGTGTAAGATTCTAATATCTAGTATGACAGACCAAAAGGTTTAGTTAAAAATTAACTACAGTCGAGTCGGATAAAGTTATCACATTCTTGAGAAAATTTCCAATAGTTAAGGAAAAAAACTTTTTCAATTAATGAATTCCATCCCAAAATACAGTCAACCAAAGCTTCTGAGTTATGGTAGCGCAGAGTACACAAAACGTTTCACACTTATAGTGTATGCACTGAGGGTTAAAAGCAAATTAATTTATGAATATAAACGGCTTAAAGGGGCAAAAGACTTAATAGAAAGTCTACAGAATAGTGAATCAGCTATGAAGTCAACATACAGTAAAGATAAAAGTCAATAGCAATTTAAGGGTAATTGTTTTTTCTGTAATAAACCAGGACAATCGAAACAATCTAATAAATAATGGGAGGAATAAAAGCAAAAAGTCAACAAATTTTCCGAGGATAAAGAAGAAAAAACTGAAAATTACTGCCATGACCAGGAAAGACACACATATAAAAATATTAAGAGCATCAATTAAAGGAAGAAGATAGTTTGTAGACTCTGGAGCAACCAAATAAAAAATAAAGATAGAAAAGATAGAAAATAAAGATTTTTTCAAAAATTAGATACTAGGGAAGAGGGACACGTTCGTCTTGCAGATGAAAAGGCTGCAATATAAAAGGGATATAAGAACGGGCGTCATAAAATGAAATTTAAAATAAAGACTATTTTTCAAAATGAAAATACGTGATATCCATGTACATACGAATCTTTGCTTGTAATTTAGTGTCAATAAAAAATTGATAAGGGATGGCTACAAAATACAGTTTTAACAGAATTATTGACATATTTCAAAAGACGGAAAGACCCATCTTCTAGCCACGTTGTCTCCAGATTTGTACGTGAAGTTTAAAAGTGCAATAAAACAAAAGTGATAGAAGTGATCAGATCGAGTAAAGTGTCAATAAAAGAACACTATGAAGATTGTCAACATGCTTGGCACCGAAGATTTGGACAGCGAGAGCCTACAGCAATTAAGTTATTAACAGAAAATTAATTGAGAAAATTAATTGGCATCAGGTATACAATTAAAGGATTGAGGTACATAAACTATTTAGAAAAGAATCTCAGCAAACGACGAAAGCAATACTCGTTCTCATTCACACAGATGTTTTTTGATCTAATGAAAACAGAAACCCCAAGTCAAAAAAAGGTATATTTTAAACATTATTGAATATTTTCCTCGATTTCCTGAAGTTTATTTAATGAAATATGAAAAATGAAATTGGAATTTTTATTCAAGAATTCATTTAATTAATTAATCACAGCATAATGAAAAGCTAAAATTAAATATAAGGTCAAATCGAAGAAGGGACTACATTAATAATGATTGTCAATCTTTCATAAAAGATGAAGAAACTTGCGTCCAATATGCATCGCCATATTCACTGCAGCAGAATGATGTTGCAAAATAGATCGTCCATAAAAATTAAAGAACAAACACCGTATGAATTATAACAAGAAAAGAAACAAGATAATGGACTCTTTTACATTTTTAGATGTGTAGCATACGCTCTTATTCACAAAGAGAAAGATAAAAAATTATATGATAAAAGAGAAAACTTTATTTTTATTGGTTATTCAGAAGAATCAAAAGTCTTCCGACTACTTGATACAAGGATAAAGGAGTTCCTACAGAGCGCTATGTGGCTACATCAAAACTAGAAATTGCTGGAATGGACCTTTGCAAGAAAACAACTTATGCAGCAGCCAGAAAGTTGTCATTCCTAAAAAAGTTGATAGTTTTTGTATGCTAAAAAAAGGAGATCATGCAATAAACCAAGCAGCTGAAGTGTGGAATGATACGTTACATGAATTAACTAAGAATGGTTTTGTGCAAACTAAGACCCTCTTGGCACTCTTGACGTTGAGAAACTGTTGTTTGTTGATGACTTCAAAGTCTTTGCTAGAATTTGTTCTTCAAGTGACGTTGCACTCTTGGAAAAATATTTTGACACTTTGTCAGATTATTATACATATTATATATATATTATCATATTGCACCTGTAATAAGATTTCAATCAATCCACTCAAATGTTGTGTTATATCATTTTTTAAAACAAATTTTTTACCAATATTATCTAACTACACAAGTCAAGGAACGACAATACCTCGCAAACAATCAATTCGAGACCTTAGGGTCATATTCACATATAATTTAAATTTCAATGATCATATTTCAGACGGTTACAGCACTGCATCTAGGGAATTAAGCAATCTTTTTAAAAATACTCGTAATTTGAAAAATATCAAAATTTTAAATATTTTTTTTTTGCTTAGGGACTTTTGGGAAATCTGCATACAGATACCTTGGACTCCACACTCCAAGGTCAGGTGGGGTTAGTAGAATAAAAAAAATATAAAATAATAAATTTAATAAACTGGCGACCCACTGCCAGCCCCGACCGTCACTCTCCTGCTTCCTGGCTTTCACATCGCTTCAGACAAAACATGTTGCACCTCGGCTTCTTGGGTAAGGCAATCCAAATCACGGATCTCGAGTGGAACTCTTCGATCCAACGACTGCATTTTACCCATGTTTCCAACCGCCTTGGTGACCTCAGCGGTGAAAGCGTCCTTTTTGGAGTCTCCTCTGAACTTAATCAGAAAGTCTCCCTTCTTTGTAGCTTTTGCTGCTACTATTCTCGTATGGCAGTCGTCGGGATTGACCTCTTTGCGAAGTTTACCCAGAACGTCAGCATACGTTAATACTTGACCGACCTTTTTCTTCTTATCGGTTTGGATTCGAGTCTCCTCTGGACTGTCACCCTCTCTCTTCCGTTTCTGAGCATCTCTTATGACTCTTTTGAGATTACGCCTATAGAAACGCTCTCTCTCTTCCTCACGGTCTTTGCGGTTACACTCCGCACCGCTGAGAACGCATGCCAAATCGAAGTGCGACTCATCGGCCACGGCATGCTTTACTTTTACCTCTCTCGGCAGGACTTCGATGACTTTGAGACTAGCTTTTACCTGAGTGGATAGCGCTATGTGCTTCTTTCTCCTTTCACGATGTTTTGTGTGTCTAACCTTTCCACGACCACCCGTGGCACTGCAAAAAATTGGGCGCCCCCACAATCCGCGCGCACTTGAGCATCAGTCCTGGGACTGATGGTGAGATTTCCCGTTTCCGGCCTGCTCACATGGGGTACCTTCTTTGAATTTTGTGGATCTATTTTTTCTTGCTGTTTGGTTGTCCTTTAGTGAAAAGTCCCGCCACCACGGCAAGGTCTACCAAACATATCCATGATGCCAGTCGTGTCTAGCAGCAGGCCCACTTCAAAAACATTTTCTTAATAATTACACTCTACTAAAAACTAATAATTATCCCCCTCAAGACTCTGATTATCCTCTACTTTGCAAAGAACATAATATTTCCCATTAATGATCCTTGTGATTGAGGGCTGAGACTTAAACAAACAAATAAAGACTAGTTATATTCAAAAGGTAACAATGAAGAAAAACTATGTTGTTACTTATGTTGACGATTTTTAATTGCATCAAGCGACACGAATAAAATAAATCAAGTAGCTAAAATTTTAAATCATGAGTTTAATTTAGTCGACTTGAAGTCTTAAAAATATTACTTAGAATTTGAAATCAAAGGAAATGATAATTATTTCTATTGTATTAAGCAAACAAAATACATTGAAAAAATAATTGAAAGGTTTGGTCTGAAAGGTGTCAAAATTTAGCAAATACCATTGGATGTAGGTTATCTGAAGATCAGAACTGATGATACTACAATTCTCGAAGGTGCAAAATATCAACAAGCTATTGGGGCATTATTACATTAGGACGTGAATTCAAGACCGTATACAGCAGCAAGTGTAACCATCTTAAGTCAGCACAACAAGCACCTAATAACTGCAGACTGTGGGAGGTGAAGAGATTGCTTCGATACCTGAAAGGGACAATAGACTACGATCCCAGATTATGTGAAAAGGACAGCAAAACATAAATTATTGGCTTTGTTGATGTAAATTGGGCTAAAGACAGAGCTGATGATAAATCAATTAGTGAATATTTAAAAAAATTAGTATTAGAATTAAAAACATTGTGGATTTCAACTATTTTTCAAAAATGTTTACATCAATTGACAATGCGAAATTGAAGTCTTTTTCAAATGATCTGAGTTCGTAGTCTATTGTCCCTTTCAGGTAGCAAGTGTAAATATACACTGACAAGTTTATGTTTATGACTACGGTACATACCTAAAGGACTAAAAGATTCAGTTTAAAATTAACTACAGTCGAGCACAGTTAATTGTAAGGTTTTTACAAGTTTTTATAAGTATTAAATTTAAAAGAAAAAACAAAGAGCTGGGCTTCAGTCTCCTGCTGCTGATGAAACTTTTCCATTTTCTTAAGGTAAGCAACACTAAATCTGTCCGAAATAAAGCAATGAGGCAATACTGCTCTGCTGAATAATCAAATTTACGTATCATTTGAGAAATGTTTGTTATTCCGTTTTTACTTCAACTGTACTACGTTTAAGAAGTGTTTGATTGTTTTTCAATTAAATAAAATAATAATAGCACCTGATTTTAAAATATTTTCCCGGCAACTTCTGAATGGTAATTGAATTTTTTAGTCACACTTTCAAAATTACATGCGTTATAATTTTTTTAGCGTTCTATATAAAAGTATGGAACGCTAAAAAAAGAAATATTTTAATATCTTTATTTATTGTTAAATTGTTTATAATTTGACTCACCTGTTCAACCCAGAGGTTCGTCGTCATTATTTGGTTTTTGAGGTTCTGAAACAATAAATATTAAAACAATTATGTCATAAACTGCAGATAAAGTTTTCTCATTATGAGAAGGTAGGAGGTTGCAAAAGCATTTCAAAAGTGGTAGAGACATGGAAAGTTAGAAATGGCATTCCGCTCTTTAATGTAGTTGTCATGGACAATGCAATGTAATTTTCACCACAAGTAATTCTATGGCTAACAAATATTCGGTAACTGGAATTTAAAATATGGTGTATTATGTTACCTCGAATGACATATATATTTATATATAATAATTATTCTTTATTATCTTTAGCTTAAATGGATTAAAAAAGAGCAGGGTCAATCCATTTTATTTCGTTCAATGCATTTCTGACAATTTAAATTTTTTAAAAATATTTTAAGAGAATATTTTGTCATGTTTTGATATGACGAAAATTTCATAAATACTTAATTTGTTATTTAAATACTGTTTTAGTAATTTGCTTATAAATATAAAAATATTCACCTCTGTTTTTATCTGGTTATATATGGAACATGATTAACACACTGTTGAGAGATTAATAAAAAATATCTAATTTAGTCTGTAAATTTATCTCGTCAACATGAAATATTGTTTGATTTTTAATAAAACCCCTGCTAACAGCATTGATTAAAATATTATTATTTAATAAAACATTTATTTATATTACTTCTATATTAATAAACTTTTAATTGATAAGTCATTAGAATAACAAATACTAAAACTGTATGCTGACAATATAGGAAAGTAATGTTTGAATGACTCAATAATTAATTCGAATACAAAGTAGAGAGGACAAATTTGGAAGCTAATTTTATGCATTCATGCTGTAGAATACAATGCAATAATCATCACTATAAATAGCAAAATTTGCTCGCTACATATTTACATAAAAGCTCGCTAGTTTCGTGAAAATATAAACAGATAGAAGTTATTAGATTTCTAAATTCTGATGTTTATATAACACCGTTAGCTATTTCTTAGAGATACACTCAGATTTACAAATAACTCTAGATGAATTAGGAGTGGTTATGCTTTTTAAGCATATCAATTTTAAGTATTTAGTAAATAATTATTTACCTGTAAGAAATGAAGCATTAAATTATACAAGAAAAAAAGTATTTAATTCAAATAGATTCTTTTTACTGTACTTTGAATTTTAAAGACTTCCTTTTTGTTTTCTCGGTCAAAGCTATACCCTATTCATGAGCCAACTGGTTCACTATAATTTTTGCAATTACATTATGAAAGATAGTTGACGGGTTAATAAACGTGTTTGATTTATAATGAAATCCATTTAATAAACATCTTAATTTACAATAACACTACCACATGGTTATCAGAATCATTAAAGTTCTTGTTGGAATTTAGTTCCCCAAAATGTACGTATAGAGTCTATATATAGTCCGACAACAGAAATTCATTTTACGAAGATAATTTATATTTGAATATATCGCATATTTTAGATCCTGAGAGTATCGTTCAACATAATCAGCCTTATAATATAACCATTAAATTCGTAATGATTTAGATCTTATTAAACTTAACAGAGCATCGAGCATTTTCCTCAAAATATTGCATAAAATATTCAGTTAATATTGAAAATTCCATAAATGTTGTAATTGGGGATAATTTAGGAGCATCATAAGTTTTAAACGAAGATTATTTAGCTAGTATGTATATTATTATTTATTATTAAGCAATTTCAAAACAATTATAAAACATGATCATGGGTTTGGATTTTAAATATACACAGTAAAAAGAAAATCTTATTTTAAGGCACGAAAGCTGCCTTAAATTAAGATGCAACATTTTTAAGACAGTCAATGTTGAATTTACGCACGTTTTTCGTATCCTTTAACATTATAGCAGACAGTGTTGAATTTAAGGCAGCTCTTAAATTAAGATTTACTTTTTACTGTGTATTGTGACTTGTACAATGTCATATTCATTTACAAAATATAAATGTATAAAAATGTTTATAATAAATTTTGTTGATTACGTAAACCAACATTAAACAAACTACTCGTAGCATTCGAATGTTTACTAGCTGAGTTTAAAAGCGCTACTTCTAATTCTGGTGTTGAAGTATAACAGCGTGCATTGTTGATAAACTGCTTGTACGCAGAAAAAGTTTTTTTATACAGTTCCTTTTTTCTTTAACAAGTGTACGACGTATATGGTCCCCCAGAATAAAAGATATTGCAATGGAAATTAAAATTTAAAAAATACTTGCAAAAACGAGTTAGGAGAAATGAAAGTAGTTGCATTGTTAGGTACGAATGACAGGCAATTAAAAAGGAACACCTGAATCAATGAAAACACGATCTAAATAATTTGCATACAAATCTTTTTTGTATAAATGTTTTGTACTTTTTGATTAAATAATTTTTTAATATTGTTCTTAATTCTTTTAAACAATTTTTTCTTATGTAGGTTTTAAAACTGTTTATGAGAAAACGTATTTTATCTCCTTTAAGGAAGCAAGGAATCTATAAATTCACCTCAAGAACGACGCCCCTAATTATTCACAATCGCGCGTGCTTGTGGCAGCAACCGTAATTATCACGATAACCCACTTGAAAGTACATTGGCATTGCGGTTTACGTTTTGAAGTAGATTTTCAGTACTTTCGTTTCTATGCATTTACGGATAGATGATGATGACGAATAATTAAAATAGTCATTAAATAAATAATTAAAATAACAAAATAAAGAAAAGATGTTTTAGAAAAAAATACTTTTTATATTAAACTTGAATCCAAAAAGATAGGGAATAAACAGATACTGTTTGATCAATGAGTCAAAGAATCTTGGAGAAACGATATAGTAGGAGATAGAAGCGAATAGTTCGTAGGAGTTACTGGAAATGTTGGGAAGGGTATGGTCGATCATTTGAAAGGGAGTTGAGTACACGAAAATGCACTCAACCGTGACTAAACTATAGACGAATGCCAACGTCGATCTCAACGCCATCAAATTCTGATAGAAGTCTATTGAAATACATTATCTTGCAGATTGCCGTGAAGGAATTGCCAATGCAAAACTACTTTTTTATTGCCTCTTCTATAGTCTCTTAGAGATAAAGAACAAATTTATTGTGGTATGTAGAAGCTAAGACAAGCGTGAAAGGTGTAGTAGGAATCTACTATCTACTCTTTCTTCACTAATTCTGCTTTTGTACTTTTAATAATTTGATATTTATTACAACAACATTTAATTTTTTTTTATAAAATTTAATCAGAAATGTTTCTGTTTATTTCATGAAATCTTATGTATGCACATACATTTTTTACTATTTTAATTTTCATTATTAAGATTTCATTGAGATATTTTCAGAACTTATTTGGAATGTTTTTAGGACCGAAATGAGCAATAGTTTTTGGATTGAAACTAATTAAGACCCACCGTGTGATCCTGTTCTAAAGACAAACTTCCTTGCCTCTTCTAATCAAGCTTTCGACATTATTGGCTTGACTGTGCCCATCAGACCGCAGAGTTTAGGTCAGTTTAGGGATCAGGATCACCTCATAGATTCCTTTTAAAGACCCCAGTTGCATCCTAAAACACTTTTATTGTTTTAGACATGTTGTGATATATTAGCACTTCTCCAAAAGCTTCCAAAGAAGCTTACTCTCTAAAACAAATCCTAGATACTTTGCACGCTCTGCAAACTCAAGTTTTTGTTTACACTTTGAACACAAGCCAAAAAGTTTTAATAGAAAAGTTATCTTAAATAATTTTTAATAATTAAATTGTCTTTAATGATATCCGCGATATTGAAATAATTAAAAAACAAAAATCCAAACATCACACCCCACTAAATTATTTTAATTAACATTAAATAAATATTATATAGTTAGAATAAATATTATTTAAGCTTTATGTAATACATTTGAATGTACCATATTTTCTAAGCACAGTAAAATATCGGGTGTCATTTTCATTGTAGGGTTACTTTACTCCTTAAAGAAGATGTGAAGTTATTTGAACAATCGATATTCGATAGGGACGTTATTTTTGTTGCTCCACTTTCTCAACCCTCAAAAATGAGGTAAAACTACTAAATTTCCTTTTTGTGAGTGTGTACTTTGTTGTTTATGAGAGAAAGCTAGAAAAATAAATACAAATTTAATGTTTATATTTTGTAAAAAGCAAGCTCTGATATTAAGGGATAGGTTTTAAGAAAGAGTAACTGGTAAATTGAATTTAAATTATTAAAGTTTTTATTCGAATTCTTCATAATTAGAATCAGAGAGAAAGAGTATTATTTACCTTTTAAAATTATTTTTTAATTTTTAGACTCAGCAAGCGATACCTCCTTCAGTGTGAGGTCGAAGAAATGACTTTGTCTAGCGGAAACAGCGAATGCAGTAGATTTCCCTCAAATTGTTTTCGGGACAGCGAAAGTGAAAAATTTGGAGTCCCGGTATCGATGCAAATTAGTCTAAACCCCCCTCAGTCTTGGAGTGACCGAATTATTGATTTGACGTTAATTTCGAGGTAATGCAGTTCTTGAAAAATAGAAATGTTCCTCGTAGTAGAAATTATCTTCTTGAATGAATTTGACTAAGATGAGACTCGCAGAAGGCACTTGATTCTTGAAAAGATTTTCTAAACTATAGTCGAAGAACAAACTTGATGACAGTATACAACTAGTTAACTTAGTGTCGATTGCTGGACTGACACGAAGACGCAAAGGTGATTGGGTGGTGACTTCTGGACTAACTTGAAGGCGTTTCCTGGACTGACGAATTTGGCAAGGGAACCTTTTATATGTTCCTTTTGCAAAGTCATACCACCCACTTTTACTGTTTTCGGGGTCTGATTATTATTATTGATCTAATTTTTAATTCCTGTATCAGACAGGTGGGGACCCAATGGAAGGGTTTATTTGTTACTAAAAATTGTAAGTTTAAAGTACTTTTAAAATCTTTTATAGGAACATTAGACAATTTTGAACTTTTCTTTTATCCATATAGTACTGAAATAAAAAGAAGTTTAAA